CCTATCCATAGTTTACAACTAGATCATAAGCTATTTAAGTTCACAATTTTGCCTTTCAGATGCCCACACAGCACCTAGAGCATGAAAGATATTTAATACTTGCTTCCTGATTGAGCTCAAGTGATTAATGAAAGAATATGTGTTTTAATTGAATAAAGGGGCTATGGACCATTAAGTGCTAAAGAAACAAAGATGAAAGGGACATTAGGAGGGGAAAATGCCAGATAGCTTTTATTTTTCTATCAGTGAAAGTAGAATCTTTTGAGAATAATTCTTTGGCTGTTGGATCGGCCTAAGGTCCTATGACTGGCCAATTCAAATTAGGCCTGAAATAGATTTCTCTAAACAGCAACAGTTTGAAATATGTCTTCAGACTGAGGCCAGAATGAGATGTTGGTCTCACATCTCAAGTGAGAAATCAGTGCTTCCTAAAAGCCTGACATGCGATTTCCTGAATCCAGGACCCCCATCCCAAGTGGCAGAGCCCTTTTTCAGCATAGGGACTTTATTACAGTATCATCTATTCATATAGTCCCTAAAATAATAAGAAGCAATAGGTGGACAGCACTTATTTATTCTGAACTCTGAACCCACAACATTAGATATGAAAGCTTAAAATTTAACCAGCTTATTGCACTAGAAGCTTTCTTAGCCGAAGTACAATGGGCTGAAAGTTTACTAAATTCACTAACAGTTGTTTTTTGCTGAGTTTGTGACACATCTTAAATATCCAGGTGGGATCACTTAAAACAGAAATACTCTATCTCAAGACAGGGAGCCTCCAACTAACAGCCCCCTTATCACCTACCTGTAAGGATCTTAGTGTGCCCTGACCCCCTTCTTCCCATGGGGAAGAGGGTCTTCCTAACATGACCATGGGAATCTGGTGGGAACAATTCTATAGGAACTATGTGGGCTCAGAGAATGGGGAAGGGAAGGAGCTGTGAAACCTGGGAAGAGCCAGGGGGAGCTGACCCGGGGGGCAGAATCCCAGGCAAGACTGGCCCGCCTACGTGCTGACCAACTGACTGTCTCTGGGGCCCAAAATAGCCTCCCTGCAAGGCCTGCATTTCTTTCACTCTCGATGCTTTGTCGGGGCTGCTTGAAATTCCACCAGTTAGAGCAATGGCTTGGCAGGGGCTGAAGTGAAAGTCTGTGTCGGGAGAAAAGGCATTCACTGGGTGCATGCTGCAAGGAGGAGGGTGGCAAGTACAATAGTTGTTTATGGGGCACAGGTTTTACAAAGCATTATCTCGTTTAACTCTCACAGCAGCCCCAGGAGGCAGGATGAATAGTATTCCTATTTTACAGATGAGGAAACTGCGATTTAAGAGCTGTTAAGTAACAGCTGGGTAAGTGGCAAGACTAGGATCCAAACCATAGACTGATCTGAATGTGTGAACGTGAGCTCTTGCTTGTTGAAACTCCATGATTTGCTCTATGCCCTCCTTCTGCAGATTAGGGGACCCGGCAACCTAGGAAGAGACTCTAGCCCAATAATATTGTGAATTATATCTCAGTTCTATCAGGGTTTACATAGATTTTTGTGGGCTAGTCTGGGAGCTTGATAGCTTGATTTGTAAGATGGTTTCTCTAGGAAAATGTGTGACTTGCTACCAAACTGGTGGAATAGAACCCCACTAGATTACAATAAATTGTGGATTACCTGCAATAATTTAAGAATGCCCGGTGTTTCTTCTAGTTGGTTTCCGGTCACACAGAAAGCCCACCTTTTCAGCCCAAGGTTCTTCATGTTTAATTTTAGTTTACAAAGCTACCAAATTGCACCACACACTGTACCTTTACTAGAGAGTACGTTTCATGAGGACAGGGGCTTTTGCCTGTGTACCAAGGATTCCCTAGCACCTAGGACAGTGCCTGGCACATACAGGCACACATTAATTACTTGTTGAATGAATACGTGCTTTTAGATCACAAATTTTTAAAAACCATCCTCCTGCCATCATGGAACTCTGGCACTTTGGACAAGCTGCTTTACATCTTTAGGCTTGGGGACCATAGGAGTACCTTTGGGCTCTAAAATGCTATGACATCTGTGCGTATCACCTTCTAGTTTTGCTTTCTAGATGCCTCAGGCCTGCTCTAATCGCCCTTTGGAGAAGATATGGGTAAAAAGCAAAATAAAAAAGAACCAAAGATGGTGAAAGGGAAAAGTCTTGGACGTCCCAAAAGGAAAATCACAAGTCTTTGAGTTCAGACAAGTTCAAAGTTGCTACAGGAGGCAGCAGCCACAGTCCAAGAACTTTATTGTCAACCTCTAGGCAAACAAGTGAGCCAGTTATGAATTCTACTTGGTTGGTTCAGCTCATGATAATGGCAGGAACAGAATTCTGGCTGTTTCATTTATATTGGAACCAGCAAAATACACGCAACCTCAAAGGTGTGTGTGTGGACAGGGTGCAGTCCAGCCCCCTTTAAACAGCACAGAATGACTCAAGGTGGCATGAAAGAGCCTTTGCTCAGTCACTAAGTTACAAGCATTTGAAAAGAAGAGGGATCAGTATTTACGGTACTTTCTATTTTCAAATGAAACGAGTGACTGAATGTTTTTCTACATAAGCCTTAACCAGTTGCATGGCGTACCGTGCAGGATATACATGTCAGCATGTTGACACTGGTTGAGTGTTCAAAGTCTGCACGTTGTCATTATTCTGCCTTCCCCGCACTGACAGCTTGCTACCGAATTGAACATACCTGGAAAGGAGTCAGTTTGGCTTAGAATGCAGCTCACTTTCTCTTTGGGAACATTTCTCTTTCAAGGATCTATTGGGTCTTCCGAAAGGTAAAACAGAATCAGTTGTGTTCTGCTGGTTCTAATGTAAACACAGTGGTCAGAATCTTGTCCATTGATGACTTAGCGTCACTTTTGGAAAAGGGACGTGATCTCCCTTTCCCCAGAACCCCCAGCTACCGCCGTCCATCAGTAGGATTACGGCTACCTTGCTTGCTTTGTGACTGCCTGTACCTTACATGAGGCACGGATTTTCTTAGGGTATTATCAAGCCATAGGGATTCAACCCTGACTACACATTAGACTCACTTGGGGAACATCTAAATATCTAGATGCCCAGGCCACGACCCAAACCAATGAGATCAGAATCTCTCCTGGTGGAACCCAGCATCAGCAGTCATTAAAGTTCCCCAGGTGAGTCCAGTGAGCAGGGGTCTTTTCTTATGAGTCTCTTCCCAAAGGAAGGTTAGGGTGGAGTGTGCAGGTGTGTGTGTGGGAGGGGGGGTTCCGGGGGGGGCATTTTGGAGTGGAAAGGCCTTCCTTTACTGTATAGTTGTAAACTGTTCATTGAGTTCTGTAGTAAGTAATGTGTCCAAGGTCACAGAATTAGCCCAAAGCAGAGCCAGCACCAGGAGCCAGCATTAAATAAGCCTAGGTAGACAGGATACTGATATGCTAATTAAACCTCCATGAATTAATCGGCTTCACAATCAGGCACAGTCATTTTTCTCTCCAGAATGTCTTGGTTAGAAAACTACTACCTTCCACTGTGTTCCTGTTCCTCTGACCTAGGCTGCTTGAACCAATGAAAAGCCACTTAGCCCTCATGGGTACAGTTCTGAAGACAATGGCACTAAAGGGCATTTTAAGTTTCTACTGCAGAAACATTGTATACGCTAAGATGGAAACATTGTATACGCTAAGATGGAAACTCGTGGTTGAAACCAAAGCCTTTAAAAATAGGTTTATACAACTAATGGACAGAAACTCTTGGAACAGTTCCTTCAATTTCAAGGGATCAACTGTGTTCTCTTTCCTACCTTAAGTCACTCTTGAAGTCTTAATTTGCCTTAGAAAAATGCACTTTTTCTTTTCCCTGGGACTTCTGGAAGATGGTGCTTTAATTGTTGTAATTAAGTATAAGATAAACACATCACATTTCCTGGGTGATTTTTAGCCCAAGGCCATAGGTTTGGGGGACTCTAGCATACAGCTGACTCTGGGACCCTTTCTACTGTGCATGTTTCAAATGCAAAATAGCTTGAAGGGTAACGGGAGTGGTGAGTGGTTATGGTGACGCTCACTATTGCTTTAGTTTGGGGTTGTGCAAATTCTCTGCTGCTACCTTTGTTAGCTACATACCTCCCCAATAATCTATAACTTGTGATGAAGCATACTCTGCTTTATGCAATAGATAAACTTCTCAAGAGCGGAGGGTAAATTATATCAAATCATAGCTGATGTGCCCTGATAAACTGCTGACATTTTTGAGAGGCAAATCACAGACTCATTTCCTAATATTAATAACCTGGTCTTTTCTTAAGAGTTAACATTGTCATGTGTGGAGTGAACGATGGTTTGTTTCTTTTCCCCCTAGCCCCAGCTAGCACTATGTATCGTTGTCTTTCTAGAACTGGAACTTTTCTGAACAGATTTGACACTGCCCAGATGCTTGTTCTGGAAATCAAGGCCCTTCTGTGTTTTCTCTGACTCTGGCTTGGTTTTGTGAAACCTCAGCCTCTTCCCTTGCAAGGGCAGTTTAGGATGGAGAATTCAGCACAGCCAGGCACACCCAGAGAAAGAGGGCTTCGGAAGAAAAAAACGGGGGTGTGTATATGTATGATGGGGAAGCAGAGGAAAGGGGACAACTGCGTGTTCTCCTACGGTGGTGGTGGTGGTGGTACTGCTGGGGAAAACAGCTGTTCCTCGGAACGCTAAATGAGCAGCAGAAAAATGTGTTACCCCCTGTGCGGGGCAAAACCAGCGCGTGCCACATACAGACTAGGTGTTGGGGTCCTGGGGCACCAGTCGGTGGCTACGAACCGCGAGGGGGCGTCGGCGCCAGCGCGGCTCTGCCCTGGGTCGGGAGGCCACACTGCGGTCGGGGCTGACTTGGGGTGCGTGCGAGCGGCGGGTGGGGTGACCCCCGCGGGGAGGGAACGGTTCTTACAGTCACTGCTCGGCGCGAAGGGCGCGCGGCGGCGGCCGAGGGAGCGGTCTTCGGCGGGCGCCTCGGGAGGCCTCTTACCGGCGGGCAGCGGGAAGGCGGACGCGGTGTGGAGCAGCACCAGGCAGACAGCCACGACATCCCATAACTTCATCTTAGAGTCCCGTCCGGCGGCGGCACCTGGGCGGGCGGGCGGGCGGGCGAGAGAACCGGGGAGAGCGCGTTAGGCCTGGACGCCGAGGGCCGCCGCGCTGCCCGAGGCGCCTCGGCCCGGCGGGTCCTCGGGGCTCCCCTCCAAACTCGGCACCGCCCTCCTCCCGGACCGCGGCAGCCCGGCGGTTCCCCGGGCACCCCCCCCCCCCCACACACACACATCCTCCTTCCTTCCCAGCCGCCTGCTCGTCCCAGCTCCTGGGTGCGCCTCCCTGGCGGCCATCCCACAAGTGCCCTTCTCTTCCGCCACCGGATCCCAGGGGTCGGATTTTCGAGCAGCGCCGCTGCCCCCGCCGGTACCAACACGACGACACCAGCACTGGCGCGCAACCCCCCCCTTCCCGGCCCCCGCTTCCTGGGGGGCGGCCGGGCAACCCTCACCCTGTGCTTCCCGCCCCGTCCAGCAGCTCCCACAGGCCCCGGGGAAGAGCCCTGGACCCAAGCAAGAGACCAGCCTTTTATTTTAGGAATAAAATCAAGTGCGGGACCGCCGGGGGGTCCTGATCCTGCTCTCAGCTAGGCGGAGGCAGGCTCAGCGGCACCACTAACCTCGCCCAAGCTTTCCTCCACCCTTTTTTTTTTTTTTTTGTGGTACGTGGGCCTCTCACTGTTGTGGCCTCTCCCGTTGCGGAGCACAGGCTCCGGACGTGCAGGCTCAGCGGCCACGGCTCACGGGCCCAGCCGCTCCGCGGCATGTGGGATCCTCCCGGACCGGGGCACGAACCCGTGTCCCCTGCATCGGCAGGAGGACTCTCAACCACTGCGCCACCAGGGAAGCCCTCCTCCTCCTCCTCCTCCTCCTCCTCCTCCTCCTCCTCCTCCTCCTCCCCCTCCTCCTCCTCCTCCTCCT